CCTTTCCTAAATGACGAGAATTGCATTGGGAAATGTCTCTCCCATTCTGCTCTGTGCCAGCTGGGTACCCAAATATTCTGATCTCTGGGTTCTTTTGACACAAACATGCCTCTCTTTTTTTCCCTTCTCCACCATCATTATACTACTTTTTACTCCAATAAAAACTGAAGAACTAACATTAAAAAAATTCCAACTTTCTTTTTCCTGCTTTCACAAATCAAAATTTCCTCTTCTTGCAAGCAGTTAGGAAAGAGTCCTTATAAGACATAAATGAAAGACAACATGGTTTCATCTGCTAGATTTTATGGCTCAGTGGGTTTAACACTGTATTTTACTCTGACTCTAGCACTGTCAGGTACCGTGAAGTATAAACTTAACAGAGAAATGTAAGAAAAAAGAAAGCTGTGTAAACTGAAAGCTTATTTTGCATGATTTTACACGCTACCTCACATTTCACTGACAATATACATTTATCAGATGCAGACAAGCAGATCTACTGACATACATAATTCTTCACTGAGGCCATCTGCAGAATATTTAATGAGGAATGCCTTTCCTGTAAATAAGTGTTCAGAGAACCAAAAAAGAAATAAATTTCATTCTCCCTTCCTCGGTCTCTAAGAGAAGAGAGAACTTTCCCATCTGTCCTGCCTGACATCTCTATCAGCATTCCTGTGTGCCCAGGGAAGTTTCAGAGCCACAGTCCCCAGCTGGAACAGAGGGAACGTGGCACCAACGCCTGCTGGAGAGTTAAAGATCAGCTCTTTGGCTGCCAAACCTCAATGGCTCTTTTCTGCACCACTGAAAAGCAACGAGGATGCTTCAGTGAACATTCTAGGTTGTTGAGGTAGATGAATAGTTGAAGCTGCTTTTCTGGTGCATCCTCTGTGTGTAGGCTGGCACCATCCCATGGATCCCAAAGGCCCACATGGCTTCTGCTGCATGCTCCACTCAGATTATATTGGCTTTGCTATCTAAAGCATGCATTCCATTAAATTACCAGAGTGATCCTAAGGATCAGCTTTGCACGAGGAAACACTCCCTTAGCAAACACATGTCCCTTCCTTTTCCTTTGGGTTTCCCAGGTCAGTACCAGGGATGCTGCCTTGAGCCATGTCCTGAGCATGAGTGATGTGCTTGAACACTCCAGAGGGGAGAGACTGCCCAGGAGAAGAACTGCAAAGGTAATTTTACCTTCACCATTTCTCTCATTTAAAAAGAGAGCCACCTGGACCTTGTCATGCCCCCAGAGAGCCACCTGAGCTTGAACAGGGGGGACAGGGAGGTTACTTGCAGGTAGAGATTGGCTTCCAGTACATGGCATGAAAATGTTACCAGGGAGCTCTCAGGGGGACAAAGACCTTGTGGCTTTGCCCCCAAAAAGCACAAACACATCTCTGTTCCAGCGTTCTTGAGATAATCAAAATCAGTAGAAGATTAGGAGGAAATCAATTTCCTTTCTCCTTTTTGAAAATCCATTGCTTATGGCCACCACAACAAACTGCATCACACCTTACAGTATAAAGTAGCATCTGCAAAGTACCATCCACAGGCCTAGGGATCTTGATATTTACCTCTTCTTAGTTTATTAAAACACCAATTTCATATATTTTTAAAACACTAACAACTTCAGGGATAATCCATGAAGATGGGATGTGTGTGACACAATCTAATGGATACTCAACTTATATTTCATGTTCTCTTTCTCATGTCAGGCTCTGTCTGGCTGGTATGTTGAAATCTTTTGATTAAATCCTCTTACTTCACTGCTTCCTTATTGATACTTGCCCTTTGTCTGGCAAAATTTTAATTACTACAGGACTGCATAACTCCATTCAGGGCTCTGATAATACCTCTGCGATAGGAGCAAAAGCAATTCCTAAGATAGAATGCAACTATAATACTCTATCATTATGTCTTCTTTTATGGCTCCTAGCACCCTCTTTATGGCTGCTAATATATTGTGGTTTCTGCCTTTCACGTACTGATTTCTGCTCTCCTTCACTCAATGTGTCCTTTTTCTCACCCAGAGAATTAACACCCTATCTCTGTAATCTCTTTCCTGCTCCCAGACATAATGTAGGGAAGGTCTCTTCTCCTTGTCGTGTGGCTCTTCCCCATTTCTCAAAGACAGGAGTGTCTACAATGCTCTGCATGTTCTGCAGCACAACCAGCATCCAGGACGTGCTGGTCTGCTCTCAGTGTTACTGGGGGTGGCTTCAGGCACACTGGGTGGTCCTAACCCGAAAGTCAGAGCAGGAATGCTGAAATCTTCAGAGGACTGAAGGAAAACTGAACTAAACAAGCTTAAATGTACCCTCAGAGAGGAAAGCACAGGAGCTTTTCCTCCCTCTTGGTTCTGCTGGGTTGCTGACTCCCGTCGACACCAAGCAACCATTAAAAAGAGACCAGGTTCTGCTACAACAGGACAGGTAGGATTTTACATATGAAATGTACACATACATTACCCTGTAATTCTAATTTAAAATCTCATTTGAGAATTAATAGCAGTGGCCTCCCTTTCAGGCAGTCCTCTCCACTTCCTCTCTCACAGCAGCTGTATTGGCTCACACTATGAAAAGCCTTAAGAGGAACAGGTCAGTCGAAAATCACTGCTCTGAGATAACATATTCCTACACCTGAGAAGCCAAAAAGTAGCAATTAAGCACAGCAAAATAAATAATTCAATAGCTAATTTGACCTGCCAGGTTGTAGAGTATTTTTTTATATCCTACCAGATTGTAATTTAGTTTAGAAGAAGTGTCCCTGGAGAGCAATGCTGTGAGAGCCCATAAAATGCTCTAGTATGATATCAGGCAAAAAGCCACCTGTAAATGGGCCACTATTGTTTAAAGAAGTTTTTTTTTGTCGTCAGTCCTGCATATTTCATGAGAAAGTGATGAAGTCCTTCTTTGATTCTTTATGAATTAATCTGCCAACTGATTAGGCAGGTAAAGCAGCCATAGATTGGGAAACAAAATTGCTCTGCAGGCACTTGACTTCTAGATGGAACACAAACCAAACAGAAAGCTAATGCTCCTTCTGTGGTAAAGAAATTGGCTTCTTTTTAATTGCCTCACAAATAATCCATAGGCAGCTTTTAGTGGGAGCAATCCATGTGGCCTCTGAAAGCATAAATAACCATTGAAAATGGGGGGAAATATTCATGCAAGGTGCAACTTAGTAGGAGAATGGAACAGCAGAGCTTTAACAAGAGACTCCCACCTGATTCCTGAGTTCATAGGGCTGTGCAGTGGGGGCAGTGCTAACCTGGTGGGCAAAAAATAGAGCAGTCCAGATGGAAGGACTTGAGTTCCTCCCAGTCAAAGGAGATGAGGTGAAAATGGAGACGACAGGCAACCACGTGTGCACAGGTGGGCAGAATTAAAACTGGGAGGGAGTGGGTGGAGCAGGGCTTGAGATGGCTCCGAGCAGCCACAAAGGTTGAGTGGAACAAGAGCAGAAACAGCAGCAGGGAACACTGAGAGCCCACAGGGGCAGCTCTGAAATGAAGGGATCCAGGATGCTCCTGGAGCATGTTCTGTCCCCACTGATCCACAGAGTGCCCCCAGCAGGGGCAGAGCCTGGCTCAGCACAACAGCTGAGATCTGAGAGCTCTGCTGGAAGGAGGGCAGGAAACACAAACCTTTTATCTTGGATATACACGCTCATTTACTGAGCACTCCAGGTTCTTGCTGTGCTGATGTCAACCCTTTCTGACATTAATGCAAAGCAGTACAGTAAAAAAAACCCAAACCCTAACAAACCCCAAAGCAACCACAAAGCCCTTTCCTGCTTACTGACACCATTGCCGAGCTTCCCTGGGTACAGTGGATCAGTCAGATCTCAATGTCCTTATAAAATGATAACTAAATTCTCCTCAAGCCCCAGAAAACTGCAATTTGGGCTGGACAAGCACTGGGGACAGCACCCAGAGCATGCTCTCCCCAGTCCTTGATCCTGTCCCATAGCAGATAATACCCTAGATGAATACTTGAAAAAATTTGAAAGATTTACTTGCTTTAAAAGGAAATAAATACATTAAACCAGCTCTTAAGCTTCTAGACAATTACTACAGCTGCTATTATAGTCTAACATAGTCTTAAGGAAAAAAAATGGGATGAACATAAAGCAGGTGCACTACACGACTTATTTTATTACATCTTCCATTTTATAAAGATATTCATGAACATATAAAAATAAACACTCTACTCCTATGCAATTAAGTTTCTCTCTAGTTGTAAGTACAGCTATTTTTAGTTTTAATTTGAGGATATCTCCCAGAATTGCAGAGCATAATCATTTCCACCATAACTCTGCATCATCATTATCAAATACCAGCCTATCTTTGGAAAATGCATGTTTTACATGCTGAAGGTCCCAGCAGTCCTTTTGCAGTTGATGGCACAGATCAGCTCCTACAGTCCTGACTTCCAGTAATGCCAAATATTGGCCACCAAGTGGTGCTACGAAGGTTTATTCCAAATGCAGTTCTGGACCATTAAACCAAAAGGGGATGGGGAAAGGCATGCTAATTTCAAGCCCTATTAAAAAAATGCAGGCAATAATTTAATGTTTCCCTCAAATGTAAATGCAAGAAAATTTATGAGGAAATCAGATTGGTATTCAAGTTTCTAAGACGAAATTATAGAAAATGACAAGGAGATAAAAAAAGCATTTTAAATCCTCCAGCCCAGAGCCTCCTTAATGGTGTCTCCCCATCTGACTGCTTTGGGAATTCACATCCATTGTGGCTCCAATTACTCCTCTCTCCACTGAGCTGTGCTAGACCAGGCACAACAGCTTTTTCATGGGTCTTGCAGTCTTTGCAGGAGCCTGTCAGCAATGCTGCAATAACGAGGAACACAGTTCAGGGGTCCTTGCTGATGTGCTAACAGCATCCTGCAGCATCCCCGGAGCCGAGCAAACCCTCCCGGAACGCCAGAGCCCCAGGGCGGTGTCCCAGTGCCACCGTCCCTCTGGGCACAGCCAGCACTCACCAGCCAATGTTGAACTCCACGTGGGCATCGAAGAAGCCGACCACAGGAGAGGTTGCTGCTTTCCAGCCCTGGATCCTGGCTCGGATCAGCCCCTCCCGTTTGGTGTTGCGCACGATCTTCACCAGCCCTGGGTACCTCTTATGGACATACTGGTCCAGGTTAAACTTTAGCTCAACTGCAGGACAAAAATAAAACCCACACCAGCATTTAGAATGAGGAGGGAAGGCCCCTGCAATGTTGTGTTTTACTCTGATTTATTCTGATTTATTACAGAGGGAAAGGAATCCTTAAATATTGCCAAACCCTTGGTCAGTCTCACAGACACAAACCCAGTGCCACAGGTGAGACATGGACCAGTTCCAGGGGTTTCAGCCCAGAGAAATTCCCTGCACACCAGAGACTTTCCCAGCTTTAAGATGGCCTGATAGATTTGAGTATAGTGTTGAAGAGGTAGTTTGTCTATGTATTTTTTAAATTAGTATTCTGATTCTCTGATGATTTGCATTAGGTTACAACTGGCCTCTGGAAGAGCAATTCTGACCATAGAGAAGTGTAACATGCCAGTCTGGTGATCTTTTTTTTTTTCTGATTTATGCTCTTCAGTAGGAGATAGAAAAATAACCTCAATGAATTTGGGGTCAAGATGTAATTCAGATCACAATGCATTTCCCTTAATTTTTAGGGTTTTCCTTTAAATATAATTAAGATTCCTCAATACCAGGATTCTTTCCTTTTTAACTAAATGGATATTGAAGCTCTCAAATAGACTTCTCTTTTGTTCATTTTCAGGCATTCAATCACAGATGGAGCAGAACTCATTCACCCTTTTTCAGCTTCATTTCAGGAGGCTTATAAACAGGCATATTACCAAAATGGTCTCTATTTTTTTTAAATCAATGTAGTTTGGTAATTCATTTACACTGAAACTTATTCATAATGTGGCTTTTGCCTAAATATATTTATCAGAAGAACTAGTAGAAGCTTCCAGGACATTAGGAGCCTCATTTTTCTGATCTATATTAGACAGTAGAATCATTATCATTGGAATCAAAGACTTGATAAATCTCCAGTTATTTAGAAGAGTGGCAGAGAAAAGCCATATAAGAGTTCACTGAGAAATGATGAGTTCAATTCTCCTCAGGATTGCCTTGACTCAGACACTTTGCAATCTCACATAATTACTCCACAGGTTACACTCCCATAACTGAAATCTGAATTGCACAAACATTTTCTTTAAATCTATAGGTTTTGGAACTTATTTTTGCTTGAGTTATCTCTTCTTTCAGCTCTCCCTTCTCTTCAGGGATGTTGAAGAGTAAGAGAAACTTAAAACTGAAAGAACTTAAAGCTGTTGATCTGAGGAGGAAACGCTACATTTTAGGCTTACTGGAAATAAATATGATTTTAGAAGATGTATCAGTTCTAGAAGTGTAATGTACAAGTTCAAAAAGACAGCACTGCTAGTCCCTTGTATCCTGAGAATCTTCAAACATGACTGTATTGTGAGACAAGCTGACGATAGCACCCTATATGCTCACCAATATTTTGATTTTGGATTAAATCATGAAGAAATAATATAAATGCTGCAATATAAAAGAGTAGCAACTATCTTTAAGGAGAATTTGTAGCCTCACTTTTCCTTGGCAGCAGAATTTAAACTTTTATTCTATTGATGATGATATTCCTCTGGATTTAAAAATTTGGATAAAAGTGTTCTGTTAGAATTGCCTACATAAATGCCGTTCATTCTGTTAGGATTTCAATGAAATCAACAGGGTTTATCCACATAATGTTTATTTGTTGTACAAATAGTCAATATTTACCCACAGCTTTGTGCAAATGGCTCAATCAACCCTCTCATCAACAAACGCATTTACATTTCCCACCTAGAAATCACAGCGCTTCGAGGCAAAGTGACAAAAGCTCACCGTTGTCACTGTTGTCATCCACCAGGATGATCTCCTTGAGCAGGTGGGACGGGGTGTGGTTCACCACGCTGTGCACGGAGCGCAGGATGACAGAGAGAGCCTCGTTGACGAATATGAACACCACCGAGATCTGGGGCAGGTCCTCTGGGTAGGTCATCTGCTTGCACCTGGGCAGGGGAAAGGCACAACTAAAACCACAGCAGCCACTGGGAGGCAAAACTGAAGAGCATCCTCCTCTCCTTGCTCCCCATCCCTGTAGGGATTTGCAGGCTTTGTCCTGTCTAACCCCAAGGAAAGATGTGGTAAAGGCTCAAAAGAATCAGCCTGGCTAGGAGCAGCACCCTCTCCATCAGCCCAGTGTACAACACACGGATTTGTAGCAGCTCTCATTCCCTGTGAGGCTAAAAGCATCTCCTGAAAACCAAAGGAGCATCGATGCTCAAAAACAACCTGGAGAAAGCTCCAATGCCACACCCTGGCTGTGCTCCCAGGGGAACCATCAGCAGCTCTGCTCCTAGCTCACAACTGCATCAGAACTTGAAAACCAGCATTCACTCAGGCAAATTTTGTATTTACCCATAGAGAGAGCACTTGCCACCCTTTCTGACTGCACAGTTTGTGCAGCAATAACAAACCCAGGGTGGGTTTTGGACAGGCCTGCACTTGCTGAAATATCTGCAAATATCTGAAGTATTTGCTCCCTCGGAGATGTTGCCTTGCTAGGCTGCTACATCCTGATTCACAGTTTGCTTCTGTGCTGCTCACCCATACATATATTTTACCACAGATCATTCTGAGAAGAAAACCTGAGGCCTGGAGAAGTTACACAGCACAGAGCAGAGCTCCTGTTCCCCAGTCCTTGGCCCGTGCCCCTCTGTAACACCATACTGCTTTATTGCAGTGGGACTCTCTCCCATTAGCAAAGAGGCTAACTTTAAAAACCCCCTACCTGTTCTCACAGTCAAAAGCCACTCAGAATTACCATAGCAATTACTGAACCTGTTCTCTAAAATACTGCTAATGATATCACAGGAAATGACTTCTCCTGCTCTTATCAAACTTTCTGACCTCTGTGCTCATTACTTTGGCATAACAATCACTTTTTTCCCCACTATCAGCAGTCATGAGGATAGGGCAGGTGACAAATGCTTGACTGCTGAGTAACCTCTGGAAGTCAGTTATGAATTCTAGTAAAGTGTAATTATTCATAATTCCTGATCCCAGCACTATTTGCTCAGAGACCTGAGCACTTGTCATTGATTCCAGTGTTACCACAGCTATTTAATGGCAGCTCGCTGGTGGCCTGCACCTCACAGAGGACCACTGTGTAAAACTTCTGGCTAAGCAGCATTCTTACACAGCCTAAAAATAAGCCTGGAACAAGGAGAGAGGTTTCCAGGAGGTATGAATGCTCTGACACAGCCCTCTTTTTTGAATTTCTTTTTTGAATGCAATTTTCCTCTTGAGCACACTGACGTATCAAAGAAGTCCATCAGGAATACTGCACTAACAGGAAAGAGCCATCAGCTACAAACATGGACCTTGCAAGATTTCCTGTGATGAGGGACATCCTTTACCTGACAGCAATTTTCTCTGGAGTCTCACTTGTATCAACACATCACAAATTGCATCTCAGGAAATCAGAGCAGTGCACTGCTGGGGGAGGTGAGGCAGAGGAGGGAGCCCACCCCAAGCCATCCCTCCTCGTGGGGTCCTGCAGCAGCACCCAGAGCTGGCAGGAAAGGAGGGAGGGAAGGAAAGAAAGTCTGTGACCCATCTGGAGACAAAAAAAGAGGTTGAGGCACAAGAGGAGAGATTACAGCAAGAATGAGAGGCCACTCAAAGCAGCACCTACTATAGAAGGGACAAGAAATTAAAGGAAAGGTGGGATCACCACAAATGTCCAAAATAGAGAGGCATGTGTGGAAGGACTGAAGTTGCCTAGGAACAGACAGGGAACCACTGAAATACTTCAAGATCACAGAGAATTAGGAATTTTGCTGAACATTTCTGAGTAAAAAGTATTTGTTTAATTGGCAAGTGAACTGAAACAACTGGGCACCCAGCCACATGTTCCTGGTCAGACTGATAGGGTAACTACAAGTAGGACTAATTCCAGTGATTTTCTGCCATCCTCCCACTTTCATTCTGAGAAAAATATCTAACCAGCTTTAAAACCATCACACCTAAACCATAACCTCCTAATTTTTGATTTATTTGTTCTTTATCACTTTAAATCAATGCATTATTGTCCCAAGTGTGACTCCGTGGCCTTGCTGGTTCACAAGGCTTTTCATGCCTTAGTTCTCAGTGATTACTTACATTGTAGGGCATCAGGGACTGCTTTAGATAAAAAGCTGTTTTGAATTTCTTATTCCACCTGGATGAAGTCATCCCTACCACTTCTCACCACAACCCTCTGTCTGTCAGTTTTTCTATTTTCTTTTTTATTCTGTTAGCAGGACATAGCTGAAGAACTGCATTTTGACTGCATTTGGAAAGAGCACTCCAAACAATATATACTGGAATATCTTTGGTAGTGCCACTGCAACAGGAACACCTTGATGGGAAAAAGCAAACCTCAGAATTTAGCAGTGGTTTAAAAGCTGTCATAGATTTATTTATTGCAGTGAGGATGAAGAACAGCAAAAGCAGCTGTCCAGCTGAGCACTTTCCAAAGCACAGTGGTGATTTAAGGGTTTATTTCCTGCAGACTTCAAGTCAACCTTGAACTCCCAGCTCCTTAGGTCACTTCACAAAATGAGATCGATGTGCTGAGGTAGTCAGGAGAAATTACTGGTCTACTACCAAACACTTCTGATGATGTTTGAGAGCATGAGCAATCCCAGTTAAGGTGTCTTTCCTTAAAAATCAGTGGGTGCCTAAGTGCTTTGCTGGATTGTCGCCGAGTTCTTCCCAAAGTGTTCTCTAATTAGACACCAGCCACAGCAATTTACAGTTAATACTTCCTTCATTCCAAGAAACTCTAACCAGAGTTTGACACTCCCAGCCAAACAGTGACATTAGCAAGCCTACACTGCCAAAGCACTCCCATGGCTGTCACCTCTGGTCACCTTTGCTCAGCCAGAGGCTGACAATGGACCAAGTGCACTGCAGTGGGTCAGCCAGTGGTGCCTGTATACTAAAAGGCACAGAAAGAGTGTCAGAACTCACAGAGTCCTCCTTGGAGCAGCCCTTGATGGCCCTGGAGCAAGGCAGCAGGGACAGTTGATTATAGAGGAAAAAGGTAAGGCTGTAAGGATCCTATTGACTCCCAACGAGCCAAAGGGTATCCTTGCAGAAAATGGTTGGAGCAGCAGCCTGGACACAGAGGAAATCATCAGGCAAGAAACCTATGAGCTAATGATGGAGCAGCTTAGCACAAGGCTAGCCACTTTTATTATTTCTTTTGAGAAGAAAATTGCCAGAATGTGAAGAAATCAAACTGTACAAAATGCACTAGCAAGGCACACCTCTATAATCCTTCAGCCTTACTGCCAACAGAACTGTAGTAAGAAATGTAGAAATCATCCCCTTTTCAGCCCTGATGCTGTGCAGTGCTGAGTGTTTAAAGCTCCCAATGCTCTGCCAGGGAAGGGAGCTGGGTCCCAACACAGTCTCACTTCTCTGCACCAGGTCTGACCACACTGTGAACTGTGGCAACCAGGTGAGGGAGGACAACTTCAGTAAATGACAGCTGAAACTTGGCCTCATTAGCATCCAACACTCCCGAGTTTGGGAAGAGCTGAGACTACATTTGACCTCTGTGGTAGCCAAAGATGGTCTGGAATGGCTTACATTTAATATTCCTGCATTCAGAACTGCCAGCAGGTCCCATGGAGTACAGCCAGCACAGGAGCTGGGGTCTCCAGAGCACACAGGTACCCTGGACAGGACACACTGCTGGATGCCTGCAGGACTAGGGATTGCAGCAAAGGCTGACAATGCCATGGCTAATCACTTCCATGGGCCAGCTGAGGATGGATTACACTGGTATGTGAAACAGCCCTTCAGGCACATTTCATACAACATACCAAGCATCAAACCTGGGACATCCTGCTGTTGTCTTGGGAAAGGTCTTTGAGTGTTCTTATTCTGTATTTGCTACTACAGAGGCTGGCTGGCAACCCAGAGGTATTTCCTTTCGGATCATTTTTCTCTATTCTGCAGAAGATTTTCACTCATTCTTTCCCTTACATTGAACTGGCTCCTTAAATGAACATTTCCCAGCCAGCCTCCTGAGCCCAACTGTGAGCACTGTCTTGCAGGCATAAGAAAACAGGGAAAGCTCTTTGGTTGGCAGACCAGAAACTTGGAAAAAAAATCATGTACTAACATAAAAAGGTCATAGATCAGAAACTGGGACATGAGAAAACAAAAGGTACTCAGCTGCACATTAACCTGCTCATGGCAACCTTGTAAGCTTGGAGGCATTAAAGAGAAGGAAAAATTCTTCTGTCTGAACCTTCATTCTCTGACAGATAGATGCATTTATTCTATTAGTGTGTGATCCAAGAGAAGTGAAGTCCTCTATTTATCAGGTTGTCCTTACAGTCCATTTGGGTTGCACTATTTCTCGTGAAGTCACTGCAGCCATGCAGGTAGTTCAGTGCATTACCAAAAAAAAGAGAAAAATCTTCCCTGCTCTATTTCCCCTGCCCTTTTTCCTGTCTGCAAACTTGCTAAACTCCAAAAACGAATTTTACTCACATACCTTAATATACTGAGTTTGGAAATGGATTAAGCAATGCATTTAGATATTTTTGACAGCTTTACCCTTCAGGAAGAAATGCAAACAAAATTAAAGCTGCTTCATGAATCTTTAAAGTGTTTAATACAAGATATGTTTTTCCAATGAACTACTGGGATGGAGATGACTGAAGGTTTCTCTCCTTCCCAAACTTGATGAAATTGCTGGCCATGAAGAAACATCTGCAGTTCTGGCAAAAAAACCACAAAACAACCCAAAACCAACCCTACCCCTACATGCTCTGTACCTTGAAAGCTTCAGAATGATCTGTGTTCATGTTTTATAGCCACAGCAGGAGAACAAGTTGGAACAGCTCCTTATTTGGTACATGATCAATGAAAGGACAAAGATAAATATTTTAAAAGATTATTGAACTCTTTCTCTTTAATGCTAACAAATACTACTTTTAATCACTAG